GCTGTCAAAAGCATCCTGGTGCTCTTGCTCCCAGCGCCAGTCGACGTCCTTCTGAAGGAGGCTCGACAAGGGCTTAGCGAAGCCCGCGTACCCAGCGCTGTACTTGTGAAGGTAGTTGGCCAAACCCAACCACTTTCGAAGATCCTTCTGGGATCGGGGCGTCGGCCATGCTGCTATGGCCTTGACCTTGTCTGGGTCAGCCCGAACGCCCACGTTGCTTACGAAGCAACCGAGAACTTTGATCTCTGGTGACGCGAAAACGCACTTGTCGATGTTGGCGTAGAGCTTGTTCGCTCGCATCACGTCCAACACTCGACGGAGGTGTCCTAGATGCACCTCCGTGGCCGTCTTGCCTCCCTCGGCACGGCTATGGACGAAAATGTCGTCGAAGTACGTCTGTACGAAGGTACGCAAAGGGCGGAACAATTGCGTCACCAGGCGATTGAACGTCGCCGGGGCGTTAGACAAGCCCTGCGGCATGACGAGCCACTCCCAAAGCATGCCGCTTGGAGTGCTTACCGCGGTGAGCGGGATGTCACTCTCTCGCATCAGGATTTGGTAGTATCCGTCTACCAAATCCAGCGCACTGTACAGTACGCTCCCGGCCATGTTGTTCAACAACACATCCTTTCGTGGGATCGGTGTTTGGGCCGGCACCGTTGCGTTGTTCAGCTTGTTATAAGCGTGAACCAGACGCCACTTTCCGTTTGGCTTACGAACGCAGAAAGTCGGCGTCGAGTGCGGGGATTTTGACTCCCGCACCATGCCTGCCTTCGCTTTCGCGGCGAAGAAGGCATCAATGACCTCGCACTGTTCGCGCGGGAGAGGCCATTGCCTCGTGACACAATACTTTGTGCCGGGCACGAGATCAATCTCGTGCCGTACGCCTCGATCCGGTGGGAGTTGGGTCGGTGGGTTTTATTCACCACGTCCGCATACTCCGTCACCAAAGGATACACCGGATCCTTGGGGTTCTTGAGAATCTCAGAACCCAAGCGCGCCTGACGCTGCTTGTTCATGTCTTCCAGGACGTTCTCGTCCAAGACAGAGGAGGAGTTCAGCTCCTCCTGAGTGGTCTCAGGTCTCATGAGTACCATCTCAGCGATCTCTCCAGCCTTGAGGTTGGCCAGGAAAGACTTAGCCGTCATTTCCTCGAGGTTCAGTATCTCTGCAACCTCTGGCAACGGTTCCAAGTGGACACCAGTTGCCTTGACGGGTAAACCCGTCTCGCTATCGAAGATGTGATAACACTCTTCCACCGGCCTTGTCGGAGGAGCCCGGGCCCTGGACTCCGAGTCGCTTGAAGCGACGTCGATCGGAACGAAGTTCGGATCCGACTTGAGGCGGCGGCGGCGTCTTTGCCGACGGCTTTCTGTGACGGGGAGCTTTGCTGCCCACGTCTAGGGATGTCGTCGCTACGACATCCGAGGGCACTCGTGGCCTCGTGTGGTACTGTTGTACCCACACAGGAAGCGTGTTCACGCCTTCCTCTTCAGTTAAGGTCTGGGCGACCGCGTGTGGCACTGTGTTACCCACACAGGAAGCGTATCCGACGTCTTCCTCTTCAGTTATGGTCTGGGCGACCGCGTGTGGCACTGTGTTACCCAACACAGGAAGCGTATCCGACGTCTTCCTCTTCAGTTATGGTCTGGGCGACCGTGAGGGGAACTCTGTTACCCACTCTGAACACGCTGTTCTCAGTGTTCATGACAGCTGCAGCTGTCTGCGGAACTAAGTTACCCGCCTGTGGACCTAAGTTACCCACTTGGCCGGCGCCTCTTCTGGGCGCGGCCACCATCAAAACATCCTCGGAGTCGTCATATACGTCGACGACTCCCAAGCATCTGCCGGATGCTTTGGTACCCTGGCAGCCCTCGCGGGCGCCCCGGGTCCTGACAGAGGTGGGAACATGACTCACCAATGCTCTGTCGGACTGCGCAGGGCGGCTGGCACCGATTGCCTTGCCTCGCCAGTCGATCCAGGGCTCGTGCTTCTCAAGCCAGGGCATGCCCAGGATCATATCATATGGATCCATATCGAGAACAGTGAACTGTTCGAGGCTGTCAAAGTCTTCAAACTTGACAGCCAGATCCACTTGGACGTTGGGGACAGTGACGACCTTCCCGTCGGCCAGTCGCACTGACACCGTCCCGTTGCCCTTGCTTTCTCGCAAAGCTTCGGACAACTTGTTGCTGTTACGAGCAACCGTCTGGCGGCGTGCGAAATTCTTCGACGCCCCAGAGTCAATCAAGATTCTAAAGGGGTGATCGTACCCCCGTACACATCCGTGTACTACGAGCAACCCGCCGCTGCTCTTCGCCGATTCGAGAGTGCGAAGACTCTCAGGGGCTAAGTCCCCGTGGTACGCGCCACCCGCGCACCCATCACGAAGACTTAGTTCTTCCCCAGTAGGGCGCCCCGCCCCTACTGGTTCCCTGCGTTCCCCTGTCCCCGGGATCCTGGCTTCTGCCAGCGACCCTTGAGGACGGGCTTGGGGAAGGACCGTCTGCGGAGTCTTTCCGCGGGACAGTCGCGCTTGAAGTGGCCCATCTTCCCACAGCCGAAGCAGCGGATGTCACGCTGTTCGGCGGACCCGAGTTCCATGGGAACTGGTCCGTTGGGGCTTGTTCGACCGGGAGCCGACAAGGAACTCCCAGGCCACGCTGAGGCCGGCGTACGCGCCTGGCGATGGCTGTACTCTTCTTGAAGAGCCACTTGAATCGCCTCTTCAAGGGTGCTTGCCTGCACCCGGAACAGCTGAGTGCGTGCGGGGCCCACTCGAAGGCCGTCCATGAACACAGTCATCTTGATGTGTTCATTGAGTGGGTTTCCCACTAGGGACGCCGTGAGCTCCCGTATCTCTTGCACATACTCGTGCAGTTCGCGTCTTCCTTGTTTACACGCGAGGAAGCGCGAACGCTGGCGGTACTCGTAGTTCGCCGGGAGGAACGCGGCTCGGAGCTGTTGGCACAGCTGAGCCCAGGATGTGAAACATCCAGGGGATGTCGCTTCCCGAGTGTACACCCAACTCTTAGCACGACCGCTAAAGTTGGAGAGTGCAAAAGCAACACGCAGTTGCTCGGTCGAGATCAGAGCCGCGTCCATCGCGAGCTCTACTTCTCGGACCCAGAAGTGAAGGTTCTCGCCTTCCTTCCCCTCATACGGCTTTACCTTCAGCCGTATTGGCTTCGGGTGAGGCGGGTTTGCTTCCGCCGCCGGAGCCTGCAGGTTCTCCCGCACATGCGCGATGAGGCCCTGCTCGTACGCGTCGAATGCATTGACGCGCTCGAGCTGCTCAGCCGGTGTTGATACCACCAGGCTCTGCAGGGCCTCCATCCCGAAGATGCCTGCCATCTTCCGAACCGACTCGAACTGAGAGTCGTTCATATGGGAGAAGTCGTTCCTATCCATGGCAACGAACTTCGGAGGTTCAGGTAGTCTACCCGCGATGGCGTGGATTGACTACAAGTGCTACCAAGTGTGACGGGGTCACACAGCACCTTGCGCTAGAGGAAGTTATCTTCCGAGAGTATACAAACTCTCAGTGAACGGCAGTTCACAGGTCCCCTCTTTAATTAAAGAGAGCGAAGTGACCTAAATAAGGTAGATTGTAAACTGAGTATATTTATAGGTAGGTTAAGTTTGAGGTTAATACAAACTATATAGAAATGCAATGTCATAAAACCAATGGTTGGTTTTGAATGACCTTGGTACCTTGTACCAAATATCCCGGAGTATGACATGTCATACTCCTGAAGTGTGAAGTGTCACACTTCATGTAACCAGGGTACACTTAGTGCTACGTACCCCGTTACAGATTGCCTGCGCAACGTGCCAGAAATACGAAGAAACTACCCACCGCAATTCGGAGTTGATGGCAGAGGATCGTCCAAAGTTGGGACTACCGGTGGATACTATTAAAATGCAGCATCTGACAGTGAACTTGTTGCTGCCACGCCGATTTCTGGTTTCGCAGTCAGATCCGATGCACTGGCAAAGAATCTCTTGCTACAGTATTATGGATGGATAGAGCAGAGATTAGGCTCGGAATCTTTCTTTTAACGATTCCGGGCAAACTTCCGAAAGAACAGTCTGTCCCTGTGGTGCTGCGAAGCGAAGTGTCCGCTCTGCTGGTTTTCTTTCATGGCACTCGTTATTTCGCCCGACTGAGGTAATATAGCATCGACTTTTATACGTGTACAGATAGTATAGTACGGTTAAATTGGAGTAAAGGTAGGACACTAGCGCGTTTGCACTCGTCTGCGGACTTTTAGCCGTGGGCCCGCCCCTCTCTTCGCTTGCTGCGCTGCGCTCGGGGGGCGCCGCTGCGCGGCCTGCCCCACCCCGGCCTCTAAGTCCTCGACTCGGCAAGGTGCTGTGTCTGGGAATAGAAATTAATTCCGAGCGAGTGTTGCCAAGACCGTCGGCTAAGTCCATTTTATGCATGTTGGGGGGTATAATTGTATAGTCGGCTAGCCAATCGGGCGAAATACTCACTGTCTTCTTTCATTTTGAACCTAAAATGCGTCTCGATGAAAATGTGACCAACACCGTTGCAAGCGCAATCATAAATGCATACCCTCTAGGAACATATTCAAAATGAAACAAAACGGAAGCAATTGCTTCTCTAAAACAACATAAACCTTTAAAACCAAACGATAATACAAGTACGCGCTATTGCATTCGCGCCAAAAAAAGAAAGGGCGAACAATAAGTCCAGAAAACGTCCATAAGTATCTGCTTAAGTAAACTTTAGTTATGTTCGATTTTTCATTCACGTACCTATGTGTACATCCTAGGTCCATTTAGTATTTCTAGCTGCCAGCTACTATTAAATACACTACTGCACACAGTGTAGCAAGTAGTCACTGCTCTCTCAACCACAAATCTCCAAAGCGTCCTGGCACAGACTGCCGATCCATTACTTAATCGACATCACCCACACCGCAGCAGTAGTTATGACCCCCAGCCCTGTGTGCGGACACACCAACAGTCGTCGAACGTAGCGGGGCCAGATGGGCCAAGAAGCCAGCACCATTCCTCATCGCTCCATTCCGCCCGCTCCCCTCGTCGCCATGAAGGTCCGGCGTGGCAGCTATTCGCGGCTGCGGCAGGCTGCAGGTCTCCTCCTCGCGACGAGCGCCTTTGCCTCGGCCAATACAGCACCCTCGCTCTATGGTTGGTCGCTATCTTGCGTCATTTTTGATGCGCATCAACCGTTCTCACCGGTATTCATGGCTTACTGCAGATTACAAATACGATGGCACCACGACGTATTGCTACTGGATGGACCAGGGCATGCAGGTGTCCAACTTCGACTTCGCGTACGTGCTAGAAGAGGGAACGAACTCCGAATGCCCCCTCAGTGTCTCGCTCCAGCAAGCCACAACCGGCACTATTCTTCTTGGAAGCGAAGTCGAGTACGCCTTCACGGCCACACTGAATCTCAACCAAAACGTGTTCAACCTCACGGAACTCCAAGCTGTTGTGCCCGACCCCACTACGGGCCTCCCCATGCAGGTTGGACACGCTAACATCCACACGTGCTCGCGCTCCACCGTGTGCGATATCTTCCGTACAGGCTCAAACCGCAAGATTGCGGACCAGGAGACGTCCAACTTTACCAGCTCCGGCACTGCCAGTTTTCGTCAGAAAATTACGTACAGCAGCGCAGGTGAACGCAACGTGTTCGCGCACATTATTCTGCCTCCCAAAGACTTTTTGGAGAAGAGTTACCACTTCATTACGTTCATCACAACTAACGTAGAAGACAGCATAACCAGTACAGCCGACGCCGACGACGGGGGACTCTCCACTGGCGCGACAGTGGGGATGATCATCGGTGCCGTTGTCATCGTTGTGGCTGTCATTCTCTCTGTAGTCTTCTGGCGTCGTAAGCGTCGCCCTGGACAGGACACTGACCACTTTCGAAGCAGTGGATTCGGCTTGCCTGCGTCGTACGTCGCGTCCAAATCTAAGTCTCATCTGGACTGGAATGCCGAGCCTGAAGCGAGATTGACGGGGCACGGCTCTGGCTGGAAAGACTACAGCGCTGGAGACCGCTCTCGTGGACCAGGTCTTAACGCTAGTGCGCTGGCCTTCAACGACCGTCTCAGTCGACAGAATAAAACTGTGTCTTCCTCAGGTTCTCTGCACTCGAGTCGCGGTCCAGCTGACATCTTCAACAACTACGACACGCCCATGCAACGCTCAGCCACCAACTTCGGTGCTTCCGGACGTTCAGCTAGAGATCCGTTCAACCGGTCGCAGTCCATGTATCCGGACGACTCGATGTATGACGACGGCGAGTCTAGAATCGTCGAAGAAGACCCCAATCTCGAGTACGGACGGACGCCTGACCTCGAGACTTTTGGTATCGGAGGCGGCCACGGACCTTCGTTTGAGAGCGAGACTTCGATCGGCACGTCGTTCGAGTACAACACGGACGACTCGCACTACAACCAACCGCCGTACAATCCTCTTCTTAGTGGCTATGGACGTGAATCAGACATGTCAAGTATGGGCGAGACGGACGACTACAACATGTACGAGCAGCCTCCTCCTCGTATGCGTGGCAACACGCTGGACGCTCTGCTGACTGCTCCAGACGACCAGGGCAGCGAGAACGGGGATAATCGCACCAGTTCGGTCTCTTCAATCGGTACCGTGGACTTTACGCAGGATGAACCCTCTGTTCGATCAGCAAAGCCCATTACTTTTGAGCCGCTGGACGAGACCCTAACGATGTCTGGTATCGCCAAGGCAAAGGCTGCCAACTCGGGTCTTGGCAACACCAACTCAAGTGACAACAACGAGTTTGTTCTTCACGACAGCTCGGCGAATTTCTCCTCGTCAAACGTTAGCAGTGACTATGCCAGTACCGTCAGCTCGGTGGATATTGACGGCAACAAGACGAGATTCGACAACACGTTTAACAGCACCAGCGACATTGTGAGCAACGCAGACATCGTGAGCACGACGGACTTTGAGTCGACTGTCAATTCTGATTATGCTGGTGACATTGCGAGCTCAGAGTTCAGTGCTAGTGGCAACGGTGAATTCACGAAGCCCAGTAGCCAGAGCGAAGGCAGCAGCTTCAGTAGCGGGTTGGAAGGCTCGAGTTTTGACTCGGGTCTGGAGAGTTCGAGCTACGGTACTGATGCGACGGGCAGTAGCTACGGTACTGGTCTGACTGGCTCGAGTTACGGCACAGATGTGACTGGCAACAGCTACAGCACGAACCTGGCAGACTTGGCTCTAGACGTTAAGAAGGAGGAGAACGACCTGAGCAACACCCAGTCGACATACGACTTTGACGACAAGTCCTTCCGTGCTTCCAACTCGTTCGCTACGTCTGCATCCGACGATAACCCGACGTCTGGCGAGGGTCTGCGTCCTAGACGTGTGTCTTCAGCTGATGGAGAGAGCTACGAATTCTAGATGTCGTGACTTTCTAGAATTTGTAGCTCTCGGGTTTGTTGATGCGTTCGTCTGCGTGGTGAAAGAAAGGGGATTCTGGATTTTCGGTCGCTTCGCTAGATGAGAACGACATTTCGGGCGCAATGAAACGCCTACGGAGCTAGTCACTTCAGTTTTTCTGGCTGGAACATGGAGGGTTTAGTCGTGAATTATTGCATTGCCAGCATAGATAAATTTCGACGTGGAATATGGAGACGACAGCGCCGAAGCGTATTTTATTTTTCACTTTTCTTCTTGGATTTCTATCGTTGGGCTTGTCGTATTTAACTTTTTGAACACGAAACATAAATTTAGAAAGAGTCTGTTTCATCCTACTGTAGATTTAGAGACTGAGTTGATGAGCACTTCCTATTAATATTTGGGCTAATTGGCAAGATGAAGGCAAGTCAAGTTGGCTCGAGTTCTGGGGTCAAGGAGTCGGAGGTTCAGTACGGACAAGCAGCGACCTCAGTGTCAAGACCCAGTGCTTCCGCTTCAAGTTCGCGCGGGACTTTTAGCTGTCGAAGATGGAGATTGTTAACTGGAAAACCCAGAGATGATGCAGTAATGACCACCAACCCACGAGCAGCTTCATCCACCTCTCGAAGAGTGCAGCGACCTTCCACGGCTGCAGTGGATTCCAATAATTGGGCCACTGCGGCGACACCATTTGCAGCTTTACTTCCACCCGACACCGTCGTCCCAATTACTTCACGAAAATCTGTGACCACTGCCGTGTTAACTTCAGCAATTTCAAAAGAAAAGCACAAGGAATTTGACCGTGAAATGGCCATTTGTGAGCGCAAACATGCTAAGGCGATGGACAAAATGGCAACAAGAATCTACCAGACCAAAAGATTTGGAGACGAACGCACAGAATCAGCTAGAAGTCAAAGAACGCGAGAGAAAAAGACACTAAAAGACCAAATCTATCTGCCGGTTTTGTGTCAAACACGATCGAATGAGCTTCGATATTTATCACCTCGTGTAGCCAAGTTGCTGCATCCGTCAGCTGGACAGCAAGAACCTCGACAAGCGGCTATAAACAGCGTTGCAATCCCAGACTCTTTAGCAGGAATGAAGCTTCTATCGTCACAGTTCGACGAACTTCGAGCAAATCTTGAGATTTCATCAAAAGCGAACAAAACGAAGGAAAAGTTACGGTATCCGAGAACGAAGAGGACAAGGTGCCAAACCTCTAGAGTCACTGGCCATGCGACTACAGAAGACACGGACAGCAGCTCCAGCAGTATCGAGACACTTTTGCTTCGAACACTTGAGCGACCACCAGCCGGTCCGGACGGGTATCAGGCCGACCACGATGAAAACTCGAGCGACGAGATGGATACAGAATCTCTGCAAAGCAGAAGCGCCAATAACAGCGAAAGCGACGTGCGACTTTTACTAAGTGCACTCGACTCTTCAACTCGAATACTGCCGCAAGATGAAGCCCCACACCCTTTTTAAAACTTGATTACTAGGACTGATGCCTCGTCCAATTTTAAAGCTGACAAGTGGAGAGTCGCCAGTGGAGACTTGATGTCGCGTGTAGCCATACAGCACCCACACAAAGGTGACGATGAATCGAAACCAGAAGCCTGCGAGTGCGTTCAAGTTCTATCAAAAACTAGTGCAGGATTTTGATTCACTGGAGCGGGAAATGGAGAGTCACCAAGAGGAGCAACAGCAGCTGGAAGCTCAGTTAGAACGTGCAAGAGCGAAAGTGCAGACCTCGAGAGCTGAAGATCAGCAAACACAGCGGCTTCAGTGGGAACGCGAACGTGATAACCGAGTCGACATACTCGTCCAGCAACGAATTGCACTCGACAATCTCCGAGCTCAAAGCGAAGAACTGGAAGCTCAAGAATTGCGTCTCCAAGCGGAGATCGAAGTTCTGCGTGAGAAACAACAAGAAGTCAGTGAGACGGAAGCTCGTCGAATCCGTCGACTTGTTCACGAGCGGACGACATTGCTGGAAGATGAGCTAACTAAGGGAAAATTGGATCTGGAATACATTACTCAAGTTGTCTCCTCTTCTCATCGACACGAAGAAAAGCAAGACAATCACGACGATACTGCGTCATCTGTGAATAATCTCGTACACGATGCTCTACAGCGAAGACGTCGGGAGTTTGAAATTGCGCAAGCAAAATTACAAGCTCGAATGAAGATTTTCCAGCTCGAAAAAGAGGAATCAGCGAAGAAAGCGAAGCAGCTGCAAGTGACCAAGAAGCGAGCGCTCCAGATCTTGTCTCAGAATCAACAACTCGCTATCAAACATTTCTTCGATACGCCGTTTAATGAGGACAAAAAAGCGAGTTCTCCGTCGCTAGATTTTGGAGAAATACTGCAGTCACTGAGTCAAAGCGAGCAGATCGAAGCTGTCAATTCAGAGCGAAATTCTGGCCTTCACGACTTTGCAGAATTTCTTCGACAAGCACGTGGAAATGTGGAACGGGGCAGCAAACGTATTGAAGAAATTCAAAGAAGTTTAGAGAGCCGTAAGATCGAAGCTCTAGCGTTAGGTATCGCAGTACCAGGGACGATATCTACCGGATACGATGGGTATTCTCCGAGGCAATACGAGACGGTTTGTTTCATACGTGGACTTGTGCTTTCGTGGATGGACGTGGCAGTTGCGGGATCATTGGCGGCAAACCGCAGGAGTGCTATTCATTTTAAAGCTGAAAGTGGTCGTGATGGAGATTACTTAGCAGAACTTTTACTAACTGATTTGATAAGAGAGGTTCTTGCTGAGGTCGCAGAGGATATTCGAGCAGAGTTTGGATCGAATTGTCGTCGTACTCGAGGTACTATTGCAACTGCTATTAAGAATGTATTATTTTCAAACAAGAAAAATATAACCCCGCAGGCAAAGAAAACACCCACATCTCATCAAAACGACGCACCAACGACAATAATTACTCCCTCGACAGCTAAAAGCCCAGTAAAAAAAGATGCTGGGCTTATTCATTGTGTCCCGAGGCACCGTAGTCGCTGCAACGAAAGAAGAAGATATACAACCACAAACGGTTATCTCCAAGCCTGTTGACGCGGAGGTTATCCCATATATTTCTTCGGACGTGCCAACGTCTCCATCATCTGATAAAGTCGCTTTGATGTTCTGGCAGAACCCACAACTTCATTTACGATCACTCACAACGCCGTCATCACGTGGCCATTGCTCGTGTTTGCAGCTCTCTGATAACGGCGAGCTACTCATTTGTGGTACCACCGAAGGCGAGTTAGTACTCTGGGATCTTCTTCCTAATCAACCAATAATTACCCGAGTGTGGTCGCCACCAAAAGCTCAACGTTCACGGATTACTCGCGTGGTTTTAAGCCCCGACTCGCAACTTGTGATAGCGTTCTTCAGACGTAAGGCCATTGCTGTTTTTGCCAACAATCCGACCGTCAACACTAACAAGAAGCCCAGCAAACTAGAACTTATAACGCAGATTTTAGCAACTGATGCGTTGGCTGAACTGTCCAATAAGGACTCCATTCTGAACGCTGAGTTGAGCTGCGGGTCGTTCTTCGCGTCTTCTACTGGGATGGCAACGAATAATACCAGTATTTTATGCGGAGCTTCGACGGGTGACTTGCTGAAAGTGAACCTGAATCCGCAGCAAGCAAAAGTACAGGCAGCGTTTAAATCTGCTGGCTCAGCCGGCGGCAACTCACTCAACACAAATACTATCGGACGCGAGTTCTTTCGAGGTCATCGACGAGCAGTTCTGTACGTCTCTTGCATTCATCGAGAGAGCAAAATTTTAAAATCCACCGAGATTCTGAGCGTAGATCAAGACGGCATCGTATGTGTCTGGGAGTACAATGCATTGAAAGTCACGAGCTTCGGGAGGTTTGAGCCGGCTAGGAGGCTGCGATTAGAGCTAGCGTGTGCCGGTCTCGATCTCTTTTCTTCTCCCGTTATGTCGAACGCTCCAAAGCAGAATCCATCGAGGTTTATCCCCCCAGACCAGGTACAAGGCGAGATCCTGCAAGTCGCACTGACACCGGATCATACGCGACTCGTTTCTATGGTGTTTTATGCTGACCCAACCAAGAAAGAGGTGGCCGGAACTCTCCGTTTTTTGCAGCTTCTAACGTCGTTCATGCAGCTTGATGCGGTGCAGATAAGTACGAGTTTTGCAGCAGGCCATGGCGCGCCGCGGTTTGCGCTTACCAGCAACTGTCTCCTGCTCTTGGCCAACAACGTCGTGCGAGTGTTTACATTGCGTACAGGCCAAGAGGCTCGAGAGGCTATCACGCTGTCTCCGGGTCGGCAGCTTGTCTTCAACCACATTTCTTGTAGCTCCAGCTCCAAGCAGACGACAAGTGAATCTCGTTCAAACACTACAATAACTTTTGCCGTGTCCGGTGATGCACATTCTCGTCTCCTTGTACACTCGTTCACTGCTTTAAACCCACAAGAGAATGAAAATACGTAACACGATCAGTGCAAAAGACCCTCGTCAGGTCTGTCTATTCTCCTACTTTTCTTCTAACAGAGTGGGGAGGCCCACGCTGTCACCTTACATGTTTGAAGAAGTGCTGGCGTCTGAGCATATTCCGTCTGGAACGCACTGTCCTGCACCAGTCGGACGTACTCTGCCACATCGATAGAAATGTCATCATCCCGACTCTCGTTGAAGAGGAAGAACGTAGTGTTGGCAGGCAACGATAGTCGTAGCCCACGTGAGAACACGCGTCCAATCTTGCCTTCTACAGTCGTCAGCGCTTCTTCCGACTCGGTGATCACGTTAACTGCGAGAATTCCACGAGGGACAAGTTGACGCTTGGCCGTCTGCAAGAAACCTGCGTCCAACATCCCAATCGGAGGAGCTCTCACTCCTTCGCAGCTCTCACCAGCCTCTACGTCAAGAATCAACACGTCCAGTGCAGCATCCTCTTGGTGCTCGAGGAAATCTTCTCCCATTTTCTCGTGTATTAAAAGTCGTGAGTCACGCTGCAGAGCGTCAGCGACCCCGAAAAAGCGCAACGCAATTGAGTTCACCTGACTACTCGGTTCGACAGCATCCAGCTGTCCTAGTTCCTGCGATGGAATATGTTCCAGAAGGAAGAGCGGCAGTGTACACGCTCCAGCACCCAGGACAGCTACGTGGATAGGCTCATCGCGTTCGGGTAGCCACGCTAGCGGCAAGCACAAGGCTCGATGAACGTCAAGCGCTAAGGTACTTCGATCAAATGATGAATCCGACGAGAGCGCCACCTCGCTCTGCGTCAAGTGCAGCCGGTCATTGAACACGAAACTGCGTGTCGACTTCGGTGCTCCGTCGAGGAAACTGTCCAGAACGGTGACTTCATCGTCGCTATACACAATTCGTCTTGAAAACTTGTCGAAGAACTCTGCTTTGTACTGTGTCACGAACTCCGGCTCGACTTCTCTTAAGTCTCGCAGCATTTGCTGCAGCTCGTCGTACGTGAAGTTCTCGCTCGATCGATGGATCTGTGGGACGCACAAAGATGCTGTCAGCTCTGTTTTTATATTGAAATTCAGTAAATAATTTAACGTCTTACATCGTGGAGAATAGTTTCCGACATGACGTCGTCGAAGGAATAGGCTGGCGTATCGTCCTCTTTGTCGTCTTTCGTCACAAGGATCCCTTCACAGTCTTTAGCTGCAAGTTGCCAATCGTAATCCGATACAAGATGCCGTGGCCACCACGGGAACGTCCGACACTGCGTCGGTCTCGCTGCAGACGGAAGAACGGGAGTGAGCCAATGGTATTGTTTTGTTCTTTTCATGTGCGTTATCGGATACCTTGGTAGACTGAGCATTTGGACCCTTGTAAGAAGATGCACTGCTTGTCATCAGGTGTCTGTTGCAGCACCAATTGCGTCCTCTTTTGTCCATCGACGTCCTCCTCTACTACACGCGTGAACTTCCGATTGAACTCGGATGGTGACGAATCTGTGGCTGCAGCTAACTCCTCCACCTCTCGATCGTTTACACGCACACGTCCGCCTCTACCTGTGCAACATTTGCCACAGCTTGTACATCGGAATCGCAGCCGTACTTCCTCACGATTGGCTGACCAGCTCTGCAGTCCACGCACACGCAGCGACAGCCTCATCTAGGATATTTTGTAAGGTAAATTTTAAACAAATTTGTCGCGCGTGGTTCCTGAAATACAAATTTCACGTGTATTTATTAAACATATTTTTGTGTTTTTATCTCGCATTTTTTTTTAAAGGGACAGCTGCTATTGCTAGCCTAAATTACCGCCGCTATTAATACGCGGCGGTAATTTAGGCTTAGTTCTACTTGCTTTGGCCTTCTTGCCTCCGCTACGCTTCGGCGGGATAACTATTGAAAAAAAAACGCTGAGCCCATGTGCACCTAAATCGATTCTTTTTAATTTCATTAATTTGGGTCAGCTTGATGCTTACCTAACTTAAGAAATAGTTATTCTAATGATCTTGAATCAAGATTCTTGATGCAATCTCTCTTTTATTGCTGGCAATCACTGTATCTTCATCTTCCACCCAAAACCATCAGCACTTCAAAAAACATTTATACAAACGCTTCACAATATGTTTCGTTTAGCGTCGTGCTCGACACCACGGGCCGTTTCTGAGCCACGAAACTAAGCTCACATCAGCGCAAAAGATAGTAAAGGCGTGTTCAGCTTACACTACTTACCCGCTTGTACTGCCTGTTTAATCTTGTAAGTAGCTAAAGATTGATCACTTCTCATACCAAACTCAATGAGAAACCAATTTATAATGAGTCATTAGACACTCTAATCTGTGCCAGTTATGATTAAAGCATCTGGATAATGCGTCGCAAGACGCCTTGCTGTTGTTATTGTTGACGGCGATCTTTTTTTATTTGATAGTTTAACGATGATTCCAGGATGGTTAAATCTCCAAGCTTATTAACGTTTCGCTATGAAATCTACTTAACCAACTATAATTAACACCTCTCGTGTACCTTTTCATTCAAAATCGTATTCTACGCCCTTGTCGGCGACACGTCCACCCGTTATGTAGTACTGGATTTTGTTGTCTAAACAACTCTGGTTTACAGCAGTAACGTATCAGTTCTTTTTGTTCAATCTAAAACTATCTACTTAGCCAACTATAATTAGCACCTCTCATGTTTTGTTGTTGTCTTGCCGCTCCATTTAAATCGTATTCTACGCCCTTGTCGGCGACACGCCCACCGGCTAAGTAGTATCGAATTTAGCTGTCTAAACAGCACATATGAGTTCTTTTTATTCTATAAGTTCATTTTATCCAATCTAAAACTATTTATCTTTATGTATTAGCAGCGTTGTTCTTACGACCAGCTGTTACGGCCAGCTCTTCTGTTGTACATGTACTACGATTTGTCAGCTTAGTAGTAACCTCACTCTCAGATAATTAGATAATACATGTATTGTGCCTTGCACAAACTTTGGCGTGCGTTTTAGGCCCGTAACTCAGCGACAAATCATATGAGATAACCTTGGCTTATGCTCGTAACTCAATGCTAAAAATAAGATAAACCTAAACAACGGATGGCCCTTCAAACAAGGTAAAAGCGCTCTTACTGCTCACACCCCACTTTGTACCTCGGTAAGAGCCATATTCGTTCCCTTCGAGAGTCACATACGCACATTATAACGTTGTTGTACAGCTGCATTGTCGCCATGTAACTCCCAATGCCGCAGGAACTACAACTGCTTCTCACTGTGAAGGTCGGAAAGCCTTACACCAGCTGCAGAACTCCGTATGGAGCACCCATTGTCTTTGAGCTCATGCCGACAGACGGGCTTGCCGTTCTACATGCTCGAATCAGCAACCAGCTAGCTGAAGATGTTACTTGGGACGCCGATGCTCCCATTTTGATCAAGCCATCAGCAAACATATCGCAAGTAAACTATGTAGCGCTCCCTTCTTCACAAGACAAGTTCTCTAACAGCATCGACCGCTTATGGAAGCAAGCCGCCCGCCGCAAACATGGGTACGAAACACTTCGTAATTCTGTTGACATGCAAAATGACATAACTACACGATGATTTAGGCAAGCTGACTTTCAGCTTGAGTTGTACATTTACGTACAGCGTAGAAATACCAATCCAGGTATTCGCCGTGCAACAGAAGCACGCGTTGAAGCATCGGCGGCTGCAATAAGAGAAGTGCTGGAGAGAGAAGGAAGCAGTAGCACTTACGGGCCTGCTGCCTAGCGCTACTGGGCTATTTCTCATGCCCGTCAGCCCGAGGGCACCGCTATCGAGCCTCCAACTAGTGCTTCATTTGCGCAACTACAACGAATTGACGCGATGCACTCTGACATTTCCGCTACATTAGATAGCAATGGCTCGAGTCCGAGTCACCAATTTGTGCGCGTGGCTTGCAGACTAAACGGGAGTATTATTCACTTGGAATTAGACGTAGCTGAGTTGCGTCGAGCTGTTGGGATGCCATCTTACGATCTATTTCCTCCATTTCGCCCCGATCTTGAAGATATTGGTTCTACTGAGAACGTGAGTGACACTGATCATGCCGAACAAGCTGGCGAGTAAGAAATTAGAGAAGAGCTCATCGCATTGCGCATTTACCTAAAGAAAATTTCTCGATTGAGACCTACTCTATCATAGCCGCAATGACCATTCAAATTTCCACTCTCTTCTTTTCCTTCCTCTATGCATTTACGCATAGCAACCTGCAAGGTTTATCCTGCATCAAATCGAAACGCGAGATGTGCGTGACGGGTTAGCCACCGCTTCAGAAGCCCAAACCCAACCTCAATCGGATTCAACTGGGGTGAATAAGGTGGTAAGAAAAGTAAAAGCGCTCCTGTCGAGTGTACGAGGTCTTCCAGCTCCTTGTACATGTGTATTTTGGCGTTGTCTAGAATGGCAATTGAACTGAATCATGATTAGTGCCAAGTACAAACAGTAAAACCATGAAGGATGCCGTACCGTGGTAGCGGCCACGGATTTGCTACATTCTTGAGAAACGCAGCATGAAAGCGATTCAGGTCAAACGTTCCTGGAGTAGGCAGGCAATAAAGCCTGAAATGTCCATTGCAGCTAAAATAGACACGCGGTCACCTACATTTCGCTAACATCAGACGAGGGAAAAAGTAAAACAGAATAAATCATGAATACTGAGTACATACCTCGGTCGAATGGTTGCCGCACAATTGCTGGCGTGTTTCTGACTGACCAGGCAAACCGACGTAGCACATCACGACCATCTTTTGCTGTTTCATCCAGAAAAACTAATTGCTCTGGGTTGCTGTAAAACGGGGCGAGCTTTTTGTAGTACGCATCGATTTCAGCAGGAATGCTCTCTCTTGCACGCTTGGTCAATACTTTGCGAGTAAGACCGAGGTCAAATCGAAGCGCACGACATATCGTCGCTGTCGACACATTTTTTAGCGTAGGAAACCTTTGCCTGAGTGTAGATTGCAGCTCCTCAATGTAGAAGCATGGATGCTCTTCTACGTAGCCGTTCACAAATTTGATGCACTCTGGAGGCCAACGGGTCTTGCGCTCAATTCGTGCGTTGGGGATTACGTTTCCACGACGACGAAATAGCATACACAAACGAGAAATCGACCTCGCAGAGACCCCCATCACCGACGCCACCACAGATACATCAATGTCGTAAAGGTATGTTAGTACTACTGACTGCCAACGCATGTCAATTGAGACGGTCATGGTTTCTTGGCAACTGTAGGGGATCGACGATAAACAGCGAGTGTGAAAGCGTTGGTTAGGCGCTTTTTTCATGGCCATTCAACCATTCCTCGTATAACACAACTCTAACTCTTCTAATAAGAGAGCTATTCAGCCATAATTCGACGAATTGCCTAACTAAATCAACGTTGTGTTGATCCCAAGATTTGCTTAAACAACGAGTTACGCCTTTGCTTAGACAGAAAGAGTGCAAGGCACAATATATCTACAACAAAATAGCTTTAGCTATTAAAGTCATTGTACAGTACATTGCATAAACTGTTAAGTACATAGTATACGTATATATAGTATGGCCTCCAAAACACGCATTCATACGTGCACCTTGCAGCATAGGAAGCGTCTTTAGGGGCTATTTCATTTGAGAATAAGTAGCTCTCTCTGTTTAGCACTCAAATATTAAAGCAACATGCATTATTAAAAAAGTAAATACTTCGTAATATAAAAACGATGCTGCCTTCGGATATCGCTTACAGTAGTAATTTTCATCAGCACATCTAAACCTATCTATCTTAGTGGCTCAAGCGACAACGTTTATTAGCACAGCGTTGCTCTTACGGCCAGCTTCTGCTGTACATGTAATTCTGTTTGGCAGCTCAGTCGGTTACCTCACATTCAGAATATTCTTAATATTTCTACAACAAAAACAGTTGTAGTTATTCTTTTAGCCATTGCTTCTTGCAGAAACTATTAAGAATATAGTATTACGTATATTAATAGTATGGCCTCGAAAACACGCATTCCTACGTGTACGCTAAGCACCTTGTAGTTCCTTAGGGGCTATTTCATTTGAGAATAAGAAGCACTCAAATATTAATAGCAACATTCCATACTAAAATAGTACAAAAATAAACCTTCGTAGTATTTAAACGATGCCGCCATCGGATAGTGGATAGCCTGGTGCAAATCTCCATATGTGCTCTGTGAACCACACAAATTTACTTATGTAAGCTACACTATTTAGTTTTAACCAAAAATAGAGCCGCCTTCGCTCCGCTCGGCAGCCAATGGGAAGACTAAAAAATCTGAGCGTTTCGTGTGACGGACGGACGGACACCGTGCTAGCCTTGATACTTTAGGACTAGCCGTTCGCCGCCGCTACGCGGCGGAGTGGCATGGTTTGTTGGAGATGAGGTGGCCGGAACTTTATTGCTTCTTGGTGTCGCGTGTTTTGAGAGCGTGGCTCACCCCGTAGATCTTGGCATCGTGTATTTAACCACTTGCCTTTCCGTAGTCTCATTCGGCCCCGTATTGTATCGTGGTTTGGAACGTTTCCGTTACCCCGTACTACAGGTTGGATGTTGTTTTCTTCAATGGCCCATGCTCTTTCGTGCTCTTCCCGGCTTCGAGGTTCCTGCTCACCCATGGCCCACGCTGCTCAGCGGTTCTGTCCTCTCTCTTGTGGGTTCATGCGCGTTAGAAATGCCTTTTCGTAAATGCTAACTTTTCTCTGTTCTCAAACGTTTATGTGGGTTGCACTGGCTTCGTGGTAGATACTATTTCGTGACCGTTGGCCTTCCATCGCCGGTGCTCTAGCCGAGGTGTGCTATTCCGTGGTTTGGTGACTTCATGCAGTCGTGTTGTTCCGTCGCCCGTGTATCGTGCTCTCCAGGTGAGGTTCCATCGACCGCGGTATCACGCTATCGTGCAATCGCGGTGTGGTTATGCTTTCTATGGTATTGTGCACGTGTAGTGCATCTGCGTTGTCCGTGTTATCGTGCTCTACGATGCCATTGTGCTCCACGGTGTGTAATCGTGGTCATACCAAGCCCACCCCCTGTGCGTTTGGTGGGCGGTCCGCAGTCCGTGCAATCGTTTTATCATGTACTGCTGTCCTCCGTGGCTCGGTAAGCTCAGGTTCTACACTGGTATGGTGCTCCGTGACTCGGTGATTTCGCGTGGCAGCGTGTTCTCCGATGGTTTAGTGGATAACCCACCGTCCATGCTGTCGTGTTATCTCTGGTGTCGGGGCTGGGCTGTCGTCTGTGCTATCGTTAGCTACCGTAGTATCGCGCTCCGTGGATCGGTGAGCTCATGTTCTACCTAGGCATCGTGCTCCAAAAATTGATGATTTCTGATTTCCCGTATCTGGCCTCCTGCGGGCTCAGGTTTGGTCGGTTGACTGTGCTCCATGTTTACCCGTGGTGTTGTTGGAGTATTGTTTCTGTGCACTCTCACCGATACGTGTTCTACCGTGGCTTCGAACGTCCGTGCTCTTCCGTAGCCCGTGCTTTTCAGCATGCTGGGGTGTCTATGTATTTAGTTCCCTTCCGTGGCCCGTGCGTTCCTGTCATGTTCTATCCATCTGTTCTTTTCATGGCTGCGTGCTCTTTCATCTTTCACGCTACTTATAAAACTTCGTGGTTTGCATCGGCTAAGTCTTCTATCATCGTCCATGGCCTTCCGTGCTTCGTGTTGCTCTTCTATCCCATCGTGTACATAGTGTAGGTCGGTATTCCTTCGTGTTTCGTGTCCTTGCTTAGACATGTGCATCCGCGCCAACTTAATCACAAACGCTGTTCCCATTTTGTTTGATGTACACAACGTATATTGGTGGAAAGTTCACATAATATCTGAAGGTCGCACACTACGCGCGCAAATACAAAGGAAGACAATACTTTCTTACGGAGGCAGTGTGGGGTGCAGGGGTGTAAGCCATAATAGTCATATTTTACGTTTTTCACATTATTATTAATAGTAGTACAATTGTTATTTATTATTAAACGCTGATATAATTATTTTGTGTACTACTACTACAAATGACTGCAAGCAAAAATATGAAATGCCTTGATAATAGTACTAAGAAAAAAAAATATTGTAAGTTAAATTAGTAAAACAGTACTACGAAGCCTAAAACATCATTCTATATCCAGTAAGTACTAAAGTTTCGATTGAGCCCGAAATATGAGTCACCAGGGCCTATAATTTTTTTCTCCAGCTCCTACGACGATATAGTACGTGTGTGCTCATCGGCGCCTTTTTATTGTGCTAATTAACGCGTACACACGCAGCGTCCTTTGCGTGAGGTGGCGAACCGCAGCTGAAAATGAGAGCAAAATGAAATTTAAGCGGTGCTTTTAAGTACGATGTGTAGTCCACATACAGTGTGTACAAAACGTAATGTTGATTTTAGCCGATGGGGGCCGCCTTCGCTGCGCTCGACAGCTTTTTAGCCAATTGACGCCGCCTTCGCTGCGCTCGGCAGCCAGTAGAATGCCCGCATTTGCGTTACATTAATTAACCCTAGCCCGTGACAGACAGACGGACAGACAACACACTCCACTAGAGAGGTAAGACTAGCCGTTCGCCGCCGCTACGCGGCGGAGGTGGCAGGTTTTAGTCCAAGGCGGAATGGGCTCCCGCCTTCGCTACGCTCCGGCGTAAACATGATGTATGTAAACGTGATTTATTAAATGCATATGAAATTGAACATTCCTACTCCGAACCAAAGATCTGCCTGTAGACAATGTTCTGGGTGTAGACCCCATCCTCCTGCTCCAGCTTTGGGTACTCGACCAGCGCCTTGAATCTTGATCTTGAAGTAACTCGCGACATCGCAACGTACAGCTGCCCGTGGGAGAAGCAAGGCGTAGCAAGATACAGCCCCAAGTACTGCACCGTTTGTCCTTGCGCCTTGTTAATCGCCATCGCAAAGGCCGGTTGGACAGGAAACTGCTTGCGTCTCAAATTAAACGGAAAGCTCCGAATGTCTCCGTCACTGATGAAAACAATGCGGGGAATCAACACATGTTGCCCTTGTCGCTCACCGGTCATGATTGTGGCGTGGATGACGTGTGGCTTAAGGGCCACAATTCGAAGCC